TTGAAGGTTATGCAAACATTTTCAGCAAAAGTAATTCATCGCTGCAGGTTTTGTGATTTCACAGAAATCTTGTTTGCATTCCGACATTGATAATAAGGTCCTTTAAGTTACTGGTTACCACCAAACTAGAGCAGACCGCTCAGGAGAACTCTAACGTCGTGGCGGAGGTGTCATCACTTATATTAACAAAGACTGGTGTAACACCATTTTAACCCACAGCATACACAACAACTTCAGTAAGCTGTCACTTGTCGCAGTGGAAATCCAGTTTTCTTGGCTGTTTTCTAACGCGCGTGGTTGAGAACGTGTATGTAGCTTCGGACATATTTCTGTTCGAGCTGCAACAGTTTGCAGACTTCCTTACCTTGGAGCTACAACTAAAATTGGAATGATCAATCTGTGTTCTCACCGGCGACTTCAGTGCAAGTGACATCACTTTCATTTACAACATAGATTTAGGCAATTTGCTGAAAGTCCCCATCAAACTCGAGGCACATCTAGCTTTAGTCTTTCCTAACAAACTTGAACTATTATATACACAAGAGCGTTCACATGTTGGTCATTCTGATTATTGCATTGTAAAGCTGGATCTCAAGTTATACAGTAAGGCCAACTATGTTGTGCTAAAACAATGATCCTCAAGAATTGTTACTCGAGGGGACCGCTCAGCAGATAACATCGGAAACTTAAATCAATCCTGTCTTCAACTTCCCCAAATTATAAATTGTCAGAGCAATGCGAGCATTATTTAGACAATTCATTTACGAAATGAGCGAAGTCCATCTATATGGCTCAAGAAACTGAGAAAGAAATTAGTAGTGGCTTATAAATTTTAGGTAACCGCCCATGTTAAACGAATGTTGATAGCAGCAAAAGGTTAAACCCACCGTACTTTCAGAACGCTTTAGGCCACCACAGTTGATGTGATATATGGAGGAATTTAGGACAACTTTACAGACAGAATTCTTTCAGAACACCTATCAACGAGGATGTAGACAAAGTCAACACTGAGTTTCACTCCTCATTACCTAAGGTACACCCTGCCTTCTTTCACCACTACTGAGCTCACTAGTTCGTTTGCTTCCACAAGTATTGACAAGAAGTTCACAAGGATGAGGCCAAACAAGACTTGTGGACCGGGTACTCTGTCGACAGTCGCTCTGAAATAATGCGCATATGTTTTAACAGTTCTGATAGAGATTTTGTGCCGGTGCTTATCGGCTTTAACCATCCCCCACATTTGGAAATCAACCAGAATAACACCAGTGCCTAAAATAGGATCTCAGAAATGTCTGCCGATTGTATACACGTCCATGCTATGAAATCTATCGGAATACAGACTATTGGTCTCCCCATTTTCCCAGGTAACCATACTGATGATGTCAAATAGTTTGCCTATATACCATGGCACTCTACAACGGATGCTGTTTATAATCTGGTGCATTCCACTGCATTGTCGTTGGAGCATAGGGGCAAGAATGTACGGCTCCTATTTCTTGATTACGTCAACACTTTTGTGAGCTTTAACAAGTCATTACTGCTCAACAACTTGTTTGAAATGGCACGCCCTCATATGTGTGTATTAGGATGCTTGGTTACTTCACAGATTGCACACACCGCGTAGCTGTATGGCAGAAAGTTTACTGTACTCCCAGCCAATTTTGATGTTTTACAAGGAGCCATGCTATTCCCCTTACTATTTACTGCCTACGTCATAAGTCTCCTTACCCATCAAATTTCATAGGCTGCGTATCTGCTGATGACGCAGCTCATGGTTGCATAACCCCATCATCGGGATCTCCTTGAAACTTCGAAGAGGGTTAGACGAACTAGCGACGCTTTCCAGCTCCCGATCCCTCGCTCATAACCCCTCCATGTGTTGAGACGTAAAGCTCTGTTTTCTACATCCCAACAGACTGCACTCCCTTGTACATATCCCTCCTCCCATGTTTGTGGATGAGGAAAGCATGCCTAGCACATCTACCATAAAATAGCTGAGCATTTGTTTATCTCACAATATATGTTGGAGTACACATGCTCTTGAAACACTCAAAAAGATTGGAACTCACCCGTTTTACGCCCTCATACTTAAATTGCTTTCCTTTCCCCCGTTCTTTGTTGCTAAGGTTTGTAACTGCATGTATTCTCCCTAACTGGTTATACTGCTCCCCTGTTGTCTTTTCCCAGGACTGTCTCAAACAATTATGTCCTTCTTTTCCGTGCGCTGTACTTTTTGCTCGCTGCTCTTGTTTAAGAACACCCTTGTAGCTTTCATCGTTAACAAAGAGTTTGATGTATGCATTAAGCTTTCATCCAAGAGTTTAAATGACTCCTCTCACGCTTTACACACTATCTTATCCAGCCTTATTACTACTTCGTCCACACGGGCAAAATGTAAATTTTAATATTATCTGACCTCGTCGTATCGAAACTATCTTGCCTTTCCCATCTTGCTTACTAAGCAAACCAACATGAATGCAACTCTGCATTCGTGACCGTGTGCTTGATAGAAGATGCAAATGTTCGTTTACTGCTATCAAATGTTTTTTCTCATTGATGTTTTGTTGTATTGTATTCAGCAATATTGATTTCAAAATTGGAACATGCAACCCTCGGCGTGGATAAAACTTAATTTGACTTGACTTGGCTTCTACACGTATTGTCTTGGAATGCAATGTTTGTGTACGTGGGGGCTGATAAAGTACGGTGTTTCCCGACGTTGTTATTCATCTTCAACAGTACCTTATCGTTAGACAGTCTACTAAGATTTCTGCAATCACTCGGACGTCACGGACCATCAAATATCACCTTTTCAAGTCGCACTTGCAGGAGACTCAATTTGAAGCTTTCAGGTCTGATTAGAACCCCCTGAAGCATTTCTCATGCACACGCATTGTCGGTCAATGAAGCGAAATCTACCACATTAAAGAATAATCTAGTGACTATTAGCAAATCATGAACAGTCCAATCTGCGATGGCGACCACCTATCCATGGCGACCAAGCCAAAATATCCCGAACGATTTTCCTATATTTTCGCATTGGTCTTAACCTGTGTCTATGGGGTTCACCTGTCTAACGCAACTGCGACCAGGCTTTTGTGGTCCCCAGTCATTCTACAATCTGTACAAGACGACCATCACCAGCACGACTGGCCGATGTTGCTAGTAAGGAGTCATGAATGTCTGCCAACGTATCACACAAATAGATTAGGTTTCGTGTCAAGGTGTCATAATTGCCCTAGGAACCACAATATATGTCCTGCGTTGATCCATTTTCGCCCAGGTTCACGTATGTTGTGTCTCCTTATTGGATTCCCCATGGGCTTGTTAACACCCACGCTGTCGCAATTGACCAGTTCACGTTGCGTAACTCCCCAGTACCAATAGTTTATTCTTATCCCATGAATCACACCGCCTTCACACCAGACTTGTCCAGTGACATGATTGGCGGCATCCGGTTCCGGATTTGCCTGTCACTGTGGCCAGCCACAGGACGTCTGCGCCTACAGAGGGACCATGGGTGGCTTGCGCTGCACCACCCACAGCTCCATCCACACACCCTATATCCAGTGTAAACCCGAAGGAATAAGACCGGGAGGTATTTGGATGGGAACCACGTTTCATCAACGGAGCCGGCCCACACTCCTTCATAGGCAAACACAAGCACGCTGTATTTGGGGAATCAAGCGCACACAAGGCGGTGGCTGGACCGTAGTCCGCTCCACACTGAGTACATGGAAGCATTCTTCGAGAATAGCATGGCCACAAGGACAGTGCACCCCGTCCCCTCCAGCAACGACCAACTGTCTCCTGGAGCTAGTATGGACGAGGAAGTGAGTGATATACAGGTAGACACCTTGTCAACATGCACATTAAGCGCAGCCACACCAGAGATATCAAGCAACAGCCAATCACTTGAAACGACGAGATCAAATGAAATGCATCGAATAATACATACTGATACGGTGACATAACTCTTCACTAAATGAGCTTGTAAGATAAATTGGTTTAGAACACATCAGCGGTAAGCCTAAGACGTCACAAAATATATTTTAAGAAAATGTCATAAACGCGAAAACGTTATCTAAGCTAAGTACAATTAACTTAAGCGACGTGTGCAAGTATATGCAAGATAGTACAGTTGGATATTAATACGAGATAAAAAAAAGTATTAGGACAATATGGCAATCCAGCCACTTCAAATAAAGTGACTCAGCATGCAACCACGCGGTTAGTAAATCGAATGCGGCGTGCCCACAAATGCTGCGCCGGTTCTGCTTACCTTCTCAGCAGAACCCGCCTTCTTTTCTGTCGTGGCCCCGAATTGCCTCCCTCCGGTGGAGTACAACCCATCGGCGCCTGCCGCTTCCGAACTTGCCACTTCTCCTCGGCAGGCATGGGGTCTTTTTCCTGCACACCGGCGACTGTCTTCGAACTCCGATCGCGCAATGCACGCCGATCAAGCGCTTTCGATTCCCATTGTAAAAAGTCGGTCCTTCAGGGACAAAACGTATTTTCTGCAAACAACAGGACCAGGCGAAAACGGAGACGGAGGGCGAGTGAAACATATCGGTATATACAGCTAGTTGGATCCATAATTAACGACCTTTGTTGATGCATGACATTTCTCCTTTGATTCAGTCAAACAAACTCACTCCAATGCGTCTAGCTGTTTGCCAATCAGCGTGCATGCGAGAAACGTGTGAATGTCCAATCGGCTGCCGCCTTTGCTTGCGGCAGCCTAACGGCTTCATTGCTGGGCTGGCACCGCACGTTCGTTCGAGTGTATACTCCCATCACATCCTCCCTTTTTTCATGCTTTTGCTGCTGTACTTTGCTAAATAGTCCATACACTTTACCACTTCGCGTCATCTTTGTTGGATCTGCCGATGTCGCCTCATTGCCGCACGCAGTATAACGCTCTCTCCCTGATTCATGCTGTCGCCTCGGACATCTCCTCAGCTGTACTCGGTTTCTTCTCAGCTTCTACCCTCCAACATTTACTTCGTTTGACCTTTCACCGACTTTCGCAGCCAAGACTCCTTTTCTCCACCGCTCCTGTCCATCGGGAATTGGTTCAACCCATACTTCTTCCCCACTGTCAGCTCAGGTAATTCCCGTGCGCCGTTGTCGTAGTACCGTTTCTGAGTAGCCATTCGCCTTCTCAAATTGTTCTGTACTTTATCACGTTGTGGCGTGACAGGGCGCAAAAGTGTTGCGGATGCAGGCATCACAGTTCTGGTCCTTCGACTGTATAGGCGCTGCACTGGACTCCGGCCGATATCCGTTGAAGGAGTGTTGCGACTTTCTAGTAGCATGAGGTATGGGTCCTCCCGAGTGTCTCTAGCCTTCGCTAATAGTCGCTTGGCTTGCTTCACTGCCGACTCTGCCTTCCCATTTGATTGACTGTGATAGGGACTGGTTTGCCGTTGTGCGAATTCCCATTTGGTTGCGAAAACCTGGAATGCCCTGCTGCTGAACTGGGGACCGTTGTCCGAGACTAGCTCCTCCGGTATCCCGTGCCGTGCGAATTTACATCTGAGTTTGTTGATTACTGCCTCCGTGGTCGTGGTGGTGAGTAAATCGATTTCAAAGTAAGCACTATAGTAGTCCACCGTGAGTAAGTAATCCTTTCCGTTGTCCCAGAATAGATCCACTGCTACTATTTTCCACGGTCGGTCCGGAACATCAGGCAGCATCATCGGTTCCTTCGTTTGCCGAATGTCGTGTGAACGGCACGCCTCACAGTTAGACACATGATCTCTGATCTGACCTGTCATTCCTGGCCAGAACATCAGTTCTTTGCTCGATTAATGGTGTAATTTGCACCCAGGTGAGCGCGATGGACATGCTCCAGCATCTCCTTTCAGAGAGAAGAAGGGATTAGGATTCGACTTCCCTTGAACAACAGACCGTCACAGACACTGAGTTCGTCCCGAAAATTGAAGTAGGGTGTTAATTCTTTCGGGAGCTGCTTCTTTGTTTCTGGCCATCCATTGAGGATAACGTCTCGCAAAGCTGCAAAAGTTTGGTCTTCCTCCGTGAAACGCCTTATGTCTTTCAAACGGTTTTCTGTCACTGCCAGATGCTGCACCATGCTAACTGTCTCGATCTCTTCTAGATGATGTTCGGCCACTGGCGGATGTGCTCTCGACAGGGTGTCCGCGATGAACATCTGTGTGCCAGGTGTGTACACAATGTCAATGTCATACTTCTGGAGCTGGATAAGCATACGCTGCAGACGGCGAGGAACGTTATTCAGTGGTTTAGTGGCTATCGACACCAGCGGCTTATGATCAGTGTACACGGTTGTCTTTCTTCCAAAAGTATAATCATTGAAACGCTCCATGGCATAGACCACTGCCAGCATCTCTTTCTCGATCTGTGCGTACCGCTTCTCGGTCTCTGTGAGTGCTCGACTGCGGAAATCCAAAGGTCTTCCGTTCTGCAACAGAACAGCACCTATTCCACTCTGGCTACTATCACACTGTACCTCCAATGGTTGTGCTGGATCGTAATATCCGAGTACGGGCGCATTACTGATGAGGTTCTTAATGGTTTCGAAAGCCAAATCCTGTTCCTTCCCCCAGCTCCAATTTACTCCTTTGTGAGTTAACTGCCTAATCGGAGTCATGACATCATCGAGTCCTGGTAGGAACCGGCTTAAATAGTTCACCATACCGTTTAGGCGATGGACTGCCTTCACATCGTTAGGGGACGGCATCTCTTGTATCGCCTTAATTTTCCCTGGGTCAACTCTGATTCCGTCGGATGTTAACACATGCCCATGGAAAATTACCTCCTCTTTCCGCAGCTCTACTTTCTCGCGTTTTAGCTTGATGTTCTTTTGCACGCAACGCCTCAGGAACCGGTGTAGCTTAGTGTCATGCTCTTCTTCGGTAGCACCGTAAATCAGAACGTCATCTGCCACACAGGTTACACCACCTAAATTATCTATTGCTTGCACCAAACGCTTTTGGAAAATTTCGCTAGACACCTTCAGGCTAAAAGGTAATCGCAGCCAACGATAACGTCCGAACGGTGTAGCAAACGTGGTGAGGAAACTGGATTCGTCGTCTAGAACAACGTGCCAGAATGCGCAAGAAAGATCTACTTTCGTGAAAAACTTAGCTTTTGTCATACGTGGTAAAACATCTTCTAACGTCGGTAGCGCATAAAGTTCTCTACGCAGGGCCTCATTCAGTGGCTTCGGGTCTATACATACGCGTAGTTCGCCACTTTTCTTCGTAATGATTGCGACCTGGCTAACCCAGTCTGTTGGCTCATCAACCTTTGCATTCACCCCCTGCATAACCAGCTTGTTCAATTCCGCGGAAAATCGGTCACGTAGCGCAAATGGGACTCACCTAGCAGGTAACGCAATCGGGCGTGCCAAAGGATCTAACGACAGGTGAGCAGTACCATCGAATTCCCCTAACCCCGGGCTAAACACAGGCGGATACTGGTCACTAACATTGGCTTCACTCTGACAAGCGTACACAAAACGATCATGGTTAAAAATGACAAAGCCAAGAGATAAAATCGAATCAATGCCGAGAATCGGCGTGAGATCCTCATCCACGATCACGAACTGCAGACGATGCGAAACACCGTCTCTCGGATTGACCACTTCAATTGTCGCCGAGCCCTTTGGCTTGAGTCTGGAACCATTCCACATGCGTAAATAATCTTGATCCGGTTGAATTTGTACGCCGCGGCAGTGCTTTCTGGGCAAAATATTGATCGTCGCGCCTGTGTCTAACTGGAATCGCACAGACCGTCCCTCGATCAGAAGACTTGCATAGACACACTTCTGCGACGCTTTCCGAGACACGTTACCAATCGATTGTTCTGTGTCTTCTGTTGATTTGTCTGGAACGAGTGCACTGACATCTGTCGACTGACAGCAGCGAGCGAAGTGATTGCGCTTCCCACATTTGACCCAAATGCGGCCCCACGCCGGACACTGTTCGCGGTTCCTCGGATGTCGTGTTGCACAGAAATTGCAGGGCTCCTGTCGCGCGGTCGTGGCCTTCGTAGTTTTGCTCCTGGAAACGGTGCACAACTCTGTATCACCTGCGATTGTCATCTGCTGGAACTGCTAGGCAGTGGAGGACTCACTGTTACAGATGTCAATACATTGCTGCAGAGATAGGTTGCGCTTTCGTAATAGTCGCTTCGTCAAACCTTCGTCATTGATCCCAAGAACAATGCGGTCCCGTATGAGACTGTCCGCCATGCATTTACAGAAACTGCAGGATCGGGCCAAAATCTTTAGCTCAGTGACGTACGTGTTAACGGATTCACCTGGCCGCCTGTTCCGCGAAAAGAAGAGGTAGCGTTGAAATGTCTCGTTTGTTTGGCCTTCGCAGTATTCACTGAACTTCTCAAGAACTGTCTCCAGATTGTTGGCATCTTCGCTCTTGTCGTAACACAATGTCTTTAGCACGCGGCGCGCATCATCTCCTGCTGCGTGTCGAAACATGGCCAAGCGGTACGCCATCGGTTGTTTGTCCAGACGCGATAAAGTGCAGAAATCCATCCATTTGCTCTTCCACAAACGCCAGTTGCTTGCCAAACTGCGTTCATCCATGTTCAGCGGGGCAGGCTTTTGAATAGCCGGTGCAGCTCCAATCATCGTCTGGGTGGTACTAATGTTCTTCTCCTTCTCTGACACCACGTAAAAGGTCGGTCCTTCAGGGACAAAACGTATATTCTGCAAACAACAGGACCAGGCGAAAACGGAGACGGAGGGCGAGTGAAACATATCGGTATATACAGCTAGTTGGATCCATAATTAACGACCTTTGTTGATGCATGACATTTCTCCTTTGATTCAGTCAAACAAACTCACTCCAATGCGTCCAGCTGTTTGCCAATCAGCGTGCATGCGAGAAACGTGTGAATGTCCAATCGGCTGCCGCCTTTGCTTGCGGTAGCCTAACGGCTTCATTGCTGGGCTGGCACCGCACGTTCGTTCGAGTGTATACTCCCATCACACCATGACCTGCAATTAAGAGTAGAACGTGACAGGCTCACTTTGATCATGTCCTGGCAACGAAGCTTCCGTTTCCCCGCACGCCGCTTCCCCACACCCAGCTGCCCATATAACAGCTGCTTGTTATTTGCATCGAATAAAGCCGCCACACGTTGTCAAGCCACCTCACATGTCACGGCAAATGTATGCATACATTCCACTTCGGCGCAACACTTCCGTGTCAGCAACTGTGTCACACCAACCAATGAGCAGAATCCGTCGCAAAGATTGCTGATGGAACCGCTCCAGAAATCGCACATCCCGCCGGTAAATCATAAACGTTTCACTGCCGCATAGAAGAGCGAACAGCACCATGGATCTGTTCATCATCAGCTCCGTGCCCATGATAGGTTGACAGTTGTTCCACACTCCGTACTTAAGCTTCCCGAATGCCGCCGCTACCCTCGAGACTCGGATGCGAAGCTTGATGTGTAGCTGCTGGTCAGTCGACATCACATGCCCAAGGTAGCAGAAGCGGGAGGTTGTTTCCAATACTTCAGCACCAATGATGATTCGCCGCAATATTGAAGATCGCACCTCCGGTGAAGGCTGAAAGAGACAGACAATTTTGCTTTTGTTGATGGTGAGCCCGAATTTGGCTGCTATCGAAGCCAGAGCACTAGTCATGTGCTGCAACTCATCCGCCCTGTGTGAAAACAACGCACAGTCGTCAGCAAACAGCAACATACGGATAGTTGTCTCACAGATTAGAGTTCTGACACCGAAACGACGGATGTTCAGCAACCCACCAGCAATAGGATGTTCCGCACGAACACCATAAACACAAGCCGCATCAAATGCACAAGACATCGTTGCATTAAGCTAAATATTAAACAGGGCAGGAGCTAAGACACAGCCTTGCTTCATACCAGTGACAACTATAAAGCCATCCGAGATCTCTCCACGCAGCTGCACGCTTGCCCGCATATCACTGCGCAGACATTCAAGTAAACTTACAAACGTACGCGGACAACCAAACTTAACCAACACCAGCCACAATGCCTCTCGGTTCACCGTATCAAATGCCTTGGTGAAATCAACAAAAAGCGAGTACAATGGCTGGTGTCCTTTTCTGCACTTCTCTTGCAACTGACGAGCCGCAAACACCATATTTTTGGTGCTGCGATCCGAATGGTGTCCACATTACTCTTCCGCCACGTTAGGTTCTACAACCTGACTGACGAGGCGGTTGAGCAGGATTCGGGCAACCACCTTACCCACACAACTCAGCAAGTTGATGATACGATAATTCGCGCAACATTGCTTGATACCTTTACCCTCGGTCGCCACCCTACCCTCGAGGTGGACGGCATTCATTTCAGCGTCACGGCTACAGTATTCATTCAGTAGAACGATTATTTCACTAACAATATTTAGGTAATTGGACATCTCTTCTACTTTCCTCATCAGAGAGGCCACTTTACTATCCCAGGAACCTCGATCTGGATGGGAACTGACCGAATCTCACGCTTTGAATGGGTTTCAATTAAGCAATATCAACATGAAGTACAACGCGCTACCTCTATTACAGTCCCATATTTGACCCAACACGAATCGTACATCTGCAGTTCTTCCAACCAGTCTGGTAAATCACCTTTCCAATTTTCTGGTCCATTATTTGGGTTTGTCTACTAATACTAAGGTGCAGACAAGCTTTGACGAAAACAATTTGCTCCACCAACTGCCCATACCATGCAGCATTTGGATGACTCAGGTTGCTTTCTGTGATTGGTTACTATACCG